TGCAGAGCGGGGGAGACTCTGTGGTCAGAGCACAACACAGATTATTAGCCCAAATAAAAGAATTTATTTAACTATTTACACAGTTATGGAGCACACAGGGCATAAATCAACAGGGGTTAAATGCAATCCTCTTCCCCTACACACAGTACTCTCTACCTCTGGAGGTCGTGGGCTCAGGATAGGATCTCTCCTTGGATCGGCTTCTGTCTCTGCTTCAGCCTCTCTCTCTTGCCCAAGAGAGCAGGGAAACTTCCATTTATTCCCCAAACCAGCCGACTGTGGGGTGGCTGAATTTCTGCTGCCTCCCAGGGTTCCCTCACGTCTCTGGCTTGTGGCCTAGCTGGAGTCTATATTGATGCTGCCCTGCCCCTTGGGATGGTCCCTCTTTCCCCGCACTTTTTGGCCTTGGGGCAGCTGGGAACTGTAGGCCAGCAGATGAGGAAGCCCCATTCAACCCAGTGAGCGATACCCCTGCAGGCCCCTCTCTGGAACTACAGCTCAATTAAACCTTATGGGGGAACATTTTAAACAAACAACCACAGACGGCTGCCATCTTACAAACACAGGTAACTGCCATTTCGTTACACCTACCAATAGCTACTGAGGGGGAAATTAGTCCCACACAGAAGGCAAGCAGAAGAAGCGTCTTCGTCGAGAGAAAGTCGTTTGCCAGTAATTCTGACAGGGCACAGTGGCTGAAGGAGTGAGCGGGGAAGAGGAGCAGACCCAGCACCCGCCCAATGGCATGAGAGTACTCTTGAGTGGCGGCTGGGCAGGACTCGGGCAACACAGCCAGTGGATAGGAACACGTTCTGAGTGACAGATCATTGAGCCAACAGATTTGGGAGCATGTGGAATGTTCTGGAAAGTGCCATCCCAAATGACAAATTACTATATAGGGAGATTGCTGCAAATGCTTTCCAAAACTTGGAAAACTGGCCATTTCAGGATCATCTGTGCCTGAAGAATGCATGTTTTTCAATGCTGGCCTTACTGTGGAATGTCCATGGACAAGACTGAAACTGGAGCATGTCAAATATGTTAGTTTTTCCTTAGAAAAAGATCAGTAGCAGAGCTGATATATATATTTGTGGGCTAAACATATAGTGAGGTTGTTAATGTTTAAACTACAATTTTTTAAAGAATTTAAATGGCTGCTTTATTAAATGAAATTTATTGCCCTAAAACAATTCAGTTCACTCTATTATCACTCCTCTTGTTGCTCAAATATACTCTCTGAGACATTCTAACTGTATACAGATGCTCAGAAAAGGGATTAACAGCGGAGGGGTGGGAATAGCGAGTTCATTTTTTACGACATTTTATGCCACTGTTACATTGTGTAGGTTTTTTTAAACTGCTAATTGGGGGGGGGGGTTCCTTTTCATTCTGTCCTGATTTTAAGGCTGTTGATTTTTGTTCTACACTCCTGGATGTGAATCAAGTGTTCTTGCATCTTTGCATTGAAGTTGGACTACAGCTGCACTCTGAACAGTCAGTCCAAGAGTCAGGAACTTCCTGAAATGAAGAATGAGCCTATTTAGCGCAAGCAGATACTGAATCTTAATTTCTAAACCTGTAACTTCCCCTCATTTATTTGGCTAACCTGCACTGCTAAGCAATTTGCCTTCACAGAGACTGAGAAGTTGTGGCATAGTTCAGATCAGGGGTCATTTTGAGGGGAAATGACCCGGAATGCCAGGCGTCAAGTTGCCTGGGGAAGGGAAGGGCAGGCAGGCAGACATGCCTCCTATTTTCCCTGAGCCTCTCCGCTTTTGCAGAGAAACTCAGGGAAGTGGGGGGGGGATTTAAATGCCTTTCTTTCCCTTGCCCCACTTCTAAACATGCCTGGGTTCCCTGCCCGATCAGGTAGGCAACCCAGGCATACTTGCATGCATGCCCTTTGTCAGGGGGTGTGGCATATGCAAATGAGTTATGCAAATGAGCTCCTGTACCTCTTTTTCTATGAAATGACGCCTGGTTCAGATGCAACGCTGGAACATGGCTCATTAGTGAGCGAATAAGTCTGGAGGACCTCAGGCCTAGCTGGAGGCTTGTATTTTCCCAACTGTCCTCCCTTATATGAGGTCCCTTATATGAGGGAATCTAATGAAATACTTCTGCTTTCACAGCAAACGATGGCTTGACATTCAATCCAAACCGCAAACTATCATTTGCTCTCTTCCCTACAAATGACAATTAACCAAGTATTCCGTTAGATTGCCACCCATACAGAAAACACAGGTGGGGAGCATGCAAACCTGAAGATCCCCTAGGCATGTACACACAACCATGCACTGGCATTACATCTGAAAGATTCTGACACATCAAGGCAACACAGAGCATACACACTTTTTAGGTTTTGTTTACTTTACAACAAAAAGAAGTAGAACATAACATGGTAAATCTATTACAAACTGTCCCATAATTTTCATTGTACTGAAATTTGTGAGCTCCATGGGGCAGAGCTGTACGTCTGTGAGGGGGTGCATGTAAATGGACAGGTCTCAAGGGAAACTTCCTCTCGTCTTCCTGGCCAGCCTTCATCTGGGTGCATGGAGCCCACTGATCATGATACCTGTTCATATCTTCCAGCTATTCATCTGTTCCCTGCTCAAGTTCCCTGCCACAGCCAGGGGGAGAGAAGGAAGGAAGCAAGTTCCACCAAATCACAGACCATTTGTGCAGCTGAACCAGTGGGAGGGGATGGATGGTAATCTCAGTTTCTCCCCTTTTCCCCAACAAAACATGAGGGAAAGTAGCCATTATGAGCATCCTGCCAAAACGAGGAGTTGCTCAGAAAAAATATCTCCTGCTGTATCCACATGTAAATCACTTTTTTGGATGACAGCCTGTGTGCACCAAACTCACCTCTTCCTTGGTGAAATTCTTCTCTGTTCCTAACAGGTAGGGAGTGATGAAGCTCTCGCCAGGTCTGAGCTGGGTCATGAAGCCATAGAAGCAAAGGTAGACAACCAGGAACTTCCAGTGTGGATCTTGAGGGAGCTCAGAGGGATGCTCTCCTGGGGTTTCAGTCTCAGGCATAATTATCCAGGATCACCTCAACTCCTTCTAGGACAAAATGGTTCTTTCCAGTGAAGCTCCACGCACTTGGATCTGCCTTGGATCAGCCCCTCTGTCCCTCTGATGCATACAAAGTCTTCAGAAGAATGTCCTCCTGGTGTGTCTGCAAAAAAGCAGAATCTGGCATCAGATCAAGCTTCCTGGTAGGAAGATTATAAACTAATACCCAGCAATATCTTGCTTGGAATTTGTTTTTCTTATTTTGTAGCTACAAATATAGTACAAAAAATGTCCCCCGCACGCAAACACTTTTAAAAGGTCCACACAGCTATTCTAGAGTTGCCAGATCACAACTTCAAAAACAGAGATCAGAATTTATTCAGCTGGACTGCTGTGTTTCCAAACAAAGATAAAGTAACAATATGTATTTGTTTGTAATACTCATGTTCTGCCTTTGTTCCCAGAACTTACAACAGTTTTAGCCTCAACAACCACCCAGTGAGGTAGGCTAGGCTAGGCTGCAATCTCTCAAGCAGCATCACAACTGAGCTGGGATTTGGGTCAGGCTTCCCCCCACCCCACATATGCAAACCTAACCCAGTAGCAACTATATTACATTTAATTGTATTTATTTCTATGCAGACCATTTTTTAAGGGATGATTAGTTCCACAGCAGCTGCTGTGTTCAGAAAGAAAGAAAAATCTGGCATGCCTAATGCACAGGAATCATCCAGCCGTTAAAACACCTTTCTTCATTCAGGGTCAATCAGGCTCATTCAGCAAATTCGATATAAATTCAATGCTGCAATGCTTCGGTGGTATTGTTAAACCAAGTTAAGATGCTCCAAGATATTGTCAAGTTGCTGTGCGTTAAGGGGCAAAGGGTAATCTTTAGATAAAACTGCCCTCCTGTAAATTTAAATGGTTAAATGAAAAACACACATAATTCCCACATACAAAAATTATCAATAACGATGAAGAAAATTATGGGTACTTCAAATCAGGAAATAAAAAAAGGAAGCTTTTGTGCTGCTGTCCAGAGACTGATCCACCAACCCGTTGAGCAACATTCCTTCAGCTGCCTTTGAATGGGGCTAAATCATATTCGGTCCAAATATCTGTAGCGTCACAGATTTATGGCACAGGCTGAACACCTCCTCTACCAGTAACTGAACTTTTTCACTCTCTTTTCTTTTTCTTTTTTTACAACATAGTGGTCCGTTTTAAAAATTAACACAGAGTCACCAGCCACGCCATTGAGGTAGCAGGTGAGGAGGATGTCGCCAGGACGGGCCAACAGGTCTTACCAGTTGCCTTAATCTCAATCTCAGCTCTAACTGGCCCTTCCTGGCGACACCCTCCTCACCTGCTACCTGTATGTAATGGCTGGTGACTCTGTGTCAACGTATCTGAAGAAGTGTGCTTTGCACACAAAAGCTGACACCCAGAATAAAACTTTGCCGGTCTCAAAGGTGCCCGACTGGACTTGAACTTTGTTAGACTTCTACACTGTCTGTGCCCAAGTACATAAAGGATTAAAGCAATTACATTGTTTAAATCAGCACACTTTATTCTGACAACTGAGCAAACTGACCATGTTGTCCAGGGGCTCAAGCGGACATCACGTTGGTGTTACGCCAGCACAACAGAGCCACAAACCTGTGCATCTCCAGGATTAACTGGAAAGCAAAACAATTTCAGAAGAAGATAATTAGCCGTGACAATAACTGCTTCTCTGTCTCGCCACCACCCACCCACCCACATCAATATTATGTACCAATGATGCTTCTACTTACCCACACAGAAGTTACAAGCGCACAGTGGAGACACAATGAGCCCATGAAATCATGGAACCCACCGCACGCATCCTTCCATACACAACATATAACCAGGTAGCCAGGGAACAATCACAGACCCTTCCCTGCACAATTTGTATGGTACAGTGTGAAGGACATCAGCAGTAATCGCTGGAATGACACCCTTCTAGCCTTTCTTCAGTCAAGTGTTCAAATCTCCCAGCAGTTTATAGTGCATAAAGGCTAGCAAACACTCTGTTTTTCCAGAACAACTACCAGGGATGGCAAGGGAAAGGAATGCACTTGCACTCCTAACAGGCAGCCAAGCTACAGTTCAGTGAGTAGAAGGAATCTATGAAGCGGAACTGAACCCTGCTATAGGAATAATGATCCCCCCATCCTGGTTATCATAACACACGCACTGCAAAGTATCTACTCTTATCTTGTGTAAGGGGCACAAGCATTTTGCAAGGCATGGAAGAAGTGACACTTCAATCGTAAACTGCAACCATCACTACAAAGGGAGAAAGGGGTTTAAGTCTCATCTTGGTGAGATGGTTAGGGCATTACCACATTCTACTTTTTGGCAATCCTCTGACAGAAATTATTTTGGGGCACAGAAGAAACAGCAATAGTAGAACCCGCACCACTGAGGAACCACAAAGGGTAACTATCAAGGATGTCTGTCCCAAAGCAGAGTACCTTTCCTATTCTGTTGCAAGCCATGGCAGTTTGTGCAAAGCACTCCATCCGTAAAGAATGCCGCATCATCAGAATTCCTATCATCATTGCCACCTGCGTGCTACAAGTTCTCTAGACATGGAGGCAGAACAACAAACCCAGGTGTTATGCATCTTGGCAGATCTGTGCTCCCTGGCTAAGCTTATGCATTCCCGGGGGCTACAAAATTACTCTACATCCTATCTTCCGTCACAGTAGAGAGGAATGGAGTACAGGGCCTTGTGCCTTGACTTATACAACCTAGAAATACAGCCTCTGAGCAAGTGCAGGGTTCTGAGGCCTGCTCCTACACTACCATGTCTCAAACATTGTCAATTTTTGCTCCTTGTGCCAGCACTAACAGAGAAGTTGGGTCAGTATAATGTAGGATCAGTACAACAGGGGTGCATAAACATATCTTTGGGGCTCTGCCAGCACAGGGAGATTCAGGATCCGTTTGTCCTGTCTAGCAGATGGAACTCAGAGACAGGATCACACTGTAGGAAACACTGCTTTAACTTTGAAGACTTCACCAGTAGTGACACTTGATTAGCAGCTATCATTATTTTCCTGAGGCTTACTACGATATCAATGATGCTACGTTAGCTGCAAGCACGTCACCTAGTGAGTGAGATAATCAGACAACAGCTTATTTTGAATGTACCCCAAATTCTATCTACTAATGCAGTATAGTTCCTCTTATCCAGAAACCTTCAGAGGCACTTCAGCTGCCAGAGAGTAACAGTTTAACAGGTTGTATTAATATGTGGTTATGCAGGAACTGTAGTGTGGAATCTGGCACTCACTGTCCATTACAAAATGTACTTCCACCTATTTTCTCTCTGCAGCATATTTCATGATCCTTGCACTGAAAATGTCACCCTAACAATCCACTGAAATGCCTAACATGAATTCTAGTTTATATTGTAGGCATGACAATTCAGCTCCAGGCAAAATGTCGAGGAAACAACTAAGCTAGACACGCTGATCTAGGAAACTGCCTTGCAATGTTACGCACAGAGATGCAGCGGTCAGCTGACCACATCCCAGGTCATGAGAGTGTTTCTCCTACAATAAAGCCTGTCTTTATTTTATTTTTTATTTACTTAAGTATTTTTACCCCGCCCTCCCCGCAAGCGGGCTCAGGGCGGCTTACAGAGGGCTACAGCCCATATATAAAATCCATAAAACAATAAAAACATAGCAGCGATTATATATAACAATAGATAAATAAGTGCTTCATGGTAAGATGGTCTTTGATAATGATGGTGTCTCTGATCTTCAGTTGGCCCCGTTGGGGTATAAGTTATGCCCTGCTGCTTCTACAGAGATGCAAAACTCTACAGAACCCTCATGTGCCATTCACAAGATGAGGAGGTGAGAATTTTGTTCTGACACAGAGAAGGCTGTATAACTCTCACGATAGGTAGGCAACCACAGGGCCATATACCACCATGACTGAAATGATTCCACATGTCCATCCACTGTTAGCCACCCACACAAGGTGATGAACAACCGCCCAAGCCTCTCCTGGTCTTTAGCCGGGGCTGACACTACCGCAGCTTAAGTGGCCTCCAATGGAGGGCGAGACCACGAAGCTTTGAGCAATGGACCCCGAATAACCTTCCTAACCACACGACCCTTACAGCAGCCCGTGGCTAAGGCAAGCCTGCACAGCCTGGGGAAAGGCAGGTCCATTCTGAGGAACGAACACCCCCCAACTCTTTGTCTAAGAACCAGGGCACAGTCATTACTGATGCCACTGAACACACACACGTGTGTGTGTGTGGATCTTTGGACTCTTGTCTTCCCCCGTGACTAAAATGTGGAAATGGCTGCCAGAGGATGAAAGTGATGGCCACAGGAACAAACGACTTTAAAAGGGGGTTAGACAGATTCAGTGACCGAGGGGAACCTCCACAGCCAGAGGCAGTCCACCTCTGAATCCCAGAGCCTCCCGGCTCTGGGATTCAGAGGTGGACTGCCTCTGGCTGTGGAGGTTCCCCTCAGTCACTGAATCTGTCTAATCTGTGTTCATCGGGGGAGGGCCTCGGCCTCCCTGGCCCCTGTGCCAGACGGACCCACAGTGGTCTGGTCCAATGTTCCCTCTAAGCGGTGGAGTGATGTGAGCAAAAATTCTACTGGCCTTAAAGTTGTGAGCGAGTGATTTGGCTACTGCATCAATCAGTTTGCTCTGGAGCCTTCCCTTCCTCGAGACAGAAATGTGTGAGCCAGAGGCTAAAAAACCGTGAGCTAGCTCACACTCACTCAGCTTAGAGGGAACACTGGTCTGGCCCAGCAGGGCTCTTCGGAGGTTCTTGCAGGGGACCAGAAACCTCGGAGTCCCAGTCCCGGGAGGCAACATCGGGGGTGGGGGGGAGACCTCGCCCTCCCCGCCCTGCTGCTGGCCCTCCGAGGGGCCTGGCTGGCCCCTGCGTGCGAGAGGGACCCTCCCTCCCCGGTTCTTCCGAGCTGAAGCCCGCCCAGCACACCCTCCTGGCGTCTCCAGCCCCACTCGCCCATCCATGCGATGGTGTCCCTCCCTTGCATAGGCGTAATCTTCGTGGGGGCGGCGGGGCTTCAGCCCCCGCCGAAATTTTCAGGAAGGTGCTCAGCCTCCCCGGGGAGCCACCCTTGCTCCTAGCACAGCAAGCCCCCCCCCCCGAAATTGGAAAGTCTACACCAGTGTTCCCTCTCAGCTGAGTTAGTGTGAGCTAGCTCACAGTTCTTTAGCCTCCAGCGCACCTATTTTTGTCTTAGCTCAGGAAGGGGATGGGGCTCCAGAGCAAACTAACGTATGCGGCAGCCAAATCGCTCGCTCGCAACTTTAATGCCAGCAGCTCACAAAGTAGGATTTTTGCTCACAAGACTTCACAGCTTAGAGGGAACATTGGACCAGACCACTGTGGGTCCGTCTGGCACAGGGGCCAGGGAGGCCGAGGCCCTCCCCCGATGAACACAGATTAGACAGATTCAGTGACTGAGGGGAACCTCCACAGCCAGAGGCAGTCCACCTCTGAATCCCAGAGCCGGGAGGCTCTGGGATTCAGAGGTGGACTGCCTCTGGCTGTGGAGGTTCCCCTCGGTCACTGAATCTGTCTAACCCCCTTTTAAAGTCGTTTGTTCCTGTGGCCATCACTTTCATCCTCTGGCAGCCAATTCCACATTTTAATCACTCTCTGTGTAAAGTAGCTTTTATCCTTTTGTCCATCTTAAACCTACTGCCCGTCAGCATCATTGGATGCCCTTGCATTCTAGTATTTTGGGAGAGGGAGAAATTTGATACAAGAAATATTAAAAACCAATCTGAAAATAGGCATGCCTGCCTCCAGGTGGGACCACAGCTCATCTCCAGAGCACCTAGATCAGTTCCCCTGGAGAAAAATGGATGCTTTGGCATCTAGTTGAATTAAAACAATAACACTGGGATCACCCTTCTTCCTTTATGATTCTTCTCAAAGGGGGTATGATGGTGGGG